CTGCCTGACTTTATAGCTGCTTCAAGATGTGCTGCTTCATAGCCTTGTTGTCTATACTTGTCTATTGCGTCGTGAATGAAATTACTTAGATATTAGCAAGTCTCCTTGGAATAGGTTGAATCTTTCTTTGCATATTCGCGTTTAAAAACTGATAAGAAGCGTATAGTAAATTTACCGCCTGTTATCAATGTGAGGATGACATTGTGCAAAAAATCGCCGCTCGGAACGGATGTGTAGGCAACGTGAAAAATAAACGTTGGCTGGATTGCACTTCGAAAAGATTTTTTAAAAGTGAGTACAATCACGTACATTAGTTTGTCGAAACACAGAGTAACAGGAATATTGTATTTTTGTCCTTTTTTATTGTAAATGTTTAAAGTGTTATCTCGGTATCTTTGAATTTATCCACTGGATAGTGGATTTAAACTACCTGCGGACCTTGGATAAATTTATTCAGTACATAGCGATTTTTATCCGCTGAATAAAGTTAATAAGTTATCCAAGCTTCGTGCAACGCAAATCATGCACACGCTGGATAAAACTTATCCGTTGGATAGCGACTTATCCACCTTTCGAACAACCGGTCCCAGGGGCCGGTTGTATAAAAACGTCGTTAACTTTAACTATGATTAGCGCTAATCACTGTAGTTAAATCCTTAACTATCAGTTGGTTAACTACACGAGTTAACTGCGTTGCACAAAGCTTATGCTCCTCTGGTTGCCGTTCACTAATAACTTGATTCAAACTGACAATCTTAAATGTGTGTAATCCAAATTTTTGTATATTTATATCCTTATTTTGTAAATTTCGCTAAACAGTGGCGAATAAAATCGATTGATTGATTGAAAACGTAGTTTTGTCGGATGATTAACTAATCACGTAGTTAACTTGCGTGGAGCTTGCGTGGGGTTGTTAAACAGAGAAATAGCATGAAGTACGACAAAGATAAAAGCATATTGAAAGTTTACAAGCTTCGACGGGGCCTTTTCTGAGTGTATAACGGTTGACAACCTTGGTATGTATTGATTGTAATGTTTTCTCACTCCTCGAAAGCTCAAGACCCCATTTTTAACTACGATTTGGAAAGTTAACGATGCCCTTGAGGATAGTTAACTTTAACTAGATTTTAACTACAGGGTGTATCAAAAAAAGGAGACCTTTAGAAATCAAGCTATTGTTAAAATTTGAATGCCTTTTCAATTGCATTTGCACATATGCTAAACCGTAGTGCGTGAAATATTGATGGCATGCATGCATACATTAGAAAAAGGAGACCTTTAGAAAATGAATTGACGTTTGTACACAAGATTGTCTGCTCCTGGGAATTTGAAAATAACTTTAATAGCATAAGGAAAAATAACGACCCAAAAATATTCAAATGACTAAGCACAAACGACTAAGCACAAAAGCAATAACAGCATGCGTGGTAGATTGTTTTAGCTGTTCCTTCAAAACATGAACAAATATTTGTTCATTAATTTTTAACACTGCGCGCGAGTATTAGGGCTGTTCAAATGAGTTAGATTGACTTTGAATCCGGAATGGCTCAGTATCCCATTTTACAAACCCTGGCTATTATTAAAATGTTTACATGAGTCAGGAATTAATTACAACTTGATCTGACACAGATTCACTTAACATTTCGATCCAAATTGAAAATTACTGATAAATTGAACATCAAAAGAACTGAATGTCATGGACCATGACCTCAAACGTGGCCCCCATTTCTCTCAACACAAACTTCCGTACGCTTGTGCATATCGCGAACTGCTTTTCTGATGACGGCAGGCTGGGTATAAAGACTACAAAAACTCTTTGCTCCGAAGTCAGTTGAACCATTTTTGTACTGGTAGTGTGCTTAGTCATTTGAATATTTTTGGGTCGTTATTTTTCCTTATGCCATTAAAGTTATTTTCAAATTCCCAGGAGCAGACAATCTTGTGTATACAAACGTCAATTCATTTTCTAATGTATGCATGCATGCCATCAATATTTCGGCACGCACTACGGTTCAGCATATGTGCAAATGCAATTGAAAAGGCATTCAAATTTTAACAATAGCTTGATTTCTTAATGTCTCCTTTTTTTTGATACACCCTGTACAGGGTGTCCAAAAAAAAACGAAAACTATTGAAATCACCCATAACAATGCCATTGTTAGAGTTTGAATGCCTAAGCACTCTGTTGGGCCCACTAGTGTATAAATCGGGGTTGCCATAAGCATTTTTATGCATGCATCATGATGCAGTCAAATTTGCTTGTTCGCAAAAATGATATTTATTAACAATATTTACAATTTACAAATATGGATAACATTATTTAAATGGGCATCTCAAGGACCATGTTCTTCGACATGTCCCCTTTCTCTAGCAGCAAAAAGCATTTAGCATTTTATAAGCTGCATTAAATCCCCACGGGCTGAAATTCGTGAACACGGCATTCAAATTTTAACAATGAGTGATTTCAATAGTTTTCGTTTTTTTTGGGACACCCTGTAGAGTAAAGGCTAACTACACTTTTATACAACCGGCTTAACTACGTGATTAAAGTTAACTATGTTAACTACAGTTGGGTGGTTAAAAAGTAGTTAAAACGTAGTTAAGAGTTTTATAAAACTAGCCCCAGGTGTATAAAAAGATTTTAACGGTGAATTTTGTGTAATCACAAGTTGATCTGGGAAGTATTAACTATAACGTTATTTATCACTTGGGTGCTTTTATATATGGAAACTATCTTGGGAATTCAAAGTTTTCTATCCAAAACTCAATTTTTAGAACTACCCGTTTTCCAGTTACAAATGCTTGGATATTAGGCCTTAGGATGACCCCTGATCTTGCACAAGTTTAAACGCGCCGTTGCTTTCTACAGCAACAAAGTAATTATTAAACTTGATTCCCTCCATCGAGAATGTTTTTTCACAAAATAGTAGGTAAGGTTGAAACTTTCTAGACTATATTTCTACCGCTACTATTAACTGAAAAACTAGGAAGAAAATAAGTAACGAAAATATGGTGGATTTTCGACCTGTGAATGGCAATGGCCTTCAATTTGGCCTTAAGATGGCGGCGGTGTTATCTCTCCTGGCTTTTTTAAATTCACTGTGTAAATTTGTATCTTTAAGCTCGAAGGTCAACCAAGCTAATTAAATGTCAATATATCACCACCCCTCCTCCTTTAAAAATGATGGGTGTCTTCGTTCTGGTTGCTTTCTTTCTCCCCAACAAGGAAAAAATTCGTTTTGAACTATAGGTCCTGTTACACGGTGCAATTTTTCTTGCAACTTGCAATGCAATTCTTCTTTAGAGAGATGTAAATTTGGCAACTACCAAACTTTTGTCTTTATTACACTCCATGGCGTTTCTTACACTTACATTTTGAGAACTCTTCGCTAATTAGCCTTTCTCACGATGACGTTTTGGGGTACTTTTAATTTTCTGAAATGGGTTTAAAAATTATTTCTAAATATAAAAAGTTTTTTTTTTAAATAAACAGACCATTTGAAGAATAAATTCAGCCTAAAATTAAAGACAGTCGCCGTTACCAAGTCTTACGCTCACGGTTTTTGAAAAAAGTACCCCAAAAATGGCGGCATATTCGTCATCGTGAGAAAGGCTAAATTAGCATTACATGGCTTAAAAGTAGAATTGCATTGCAAGTTGCAAAAAAATTTGCACCGTGTAACAAGGCCTTATAACTGGCCAACAGACCCTCGCTAATTACGTCACAACATTATCGTTTTTAATTTAGAACCACCTTAACTGAGAGGGATTTCAAGTTTTACTCTCACAAGCTAAGATGCAAAACATCTTTCTTGGCTTCTTTAACACATGCGTGAAAAAGAATTTTTGATTTTGACAAACAAGTGTGAAAATAAGCCATTACCATTGAACTCAAAAGAACTTTTGAGTTCTTTTGAGTTCTTTTGAGTTCACTGGCCATTACACAAGAACGAGGCTGCCGGTTGTCGCCTGGTAGCCTCGTTTTAGTGTTATGACTTATTTCCACATTTATTGGTCACATTTCCGCATTTAAGGTTTTTCTAAATTTATAACGATAATGTTGTGCCGTAATTATCGAAAGGGTTTATTTGTTTACATCTCAAGTGAATTAAAATGTTTAATACTTCATGTAAAACGATAAATAATGTTCATTTTCACCGGAACTGGTAAACATTTATGCATTCTGATTGTGTCACTGAAAATATAAGGAAATTTGTTCATTGGTCTAAAACGAAGTTCCTCCTTGTTGTTCCACCCCAAATCAGCAAATTATAGTCAAATCGGTTTCATCCAATGACTGGATTTTATTTTGGTCTATTAGGTTTATTTTATTTTATCTACTATTTGGTTTATTTTATTTTATTTTGGAGTTCAGCCGGTGATTCAGCCTTCCACGACTTTCCGTATATTTGGAGTTCACTGATCTCCATAGGGTAGCCTGGCTCCCTGTTCGGGATAATCGAAATGAGAAATGTTCGATTGGTCGCTCACGCACTGAGGGCGTTCACGCTGTTGGAATCATTGTTGGAATATTGTAATGTATTCAAACCTTATACAAACCGGAAACCAGGCTTTTGATTGGATTATCCCAGGAAATCACGGGCTCGGGGATTGAGATTTGCTTCAGGCTCCAGGGTTTCCACTTTCAAGGAAATTTCCTTTTTTGAGGAAATTTTGGCTCAAAAAATCGGTTTCGTTTCAAGGAAAAAAAAGGAATCAAGGAAATCTAAGGAAATTTAAAAAAAATTTAAGAAAATCTAAGGAATATTTGAGATATCTTAGAAAAACTCAAAAAAGACGCGAAAATGAAAATTAATACATGTTTTTCAGGGCACCATTATTGCGAGATCAAGTATTTTGTGTTTAGTTCAATTAAAAATTAATAGGCGGAAATCAATAAATCTTGCTTCAAGGAAATTTAAGGAAATTTTAATGCTAAACCAAGGATATTTTTAAGGTGCCTTGTGGAAACACCAGCCTCAGCTGTCAGTTCTCTGTAATCAGAGATGGAATGCAATCGACTGCAATGGCGTGGCGTTTGAGGGATTTCCCCAAACGAAGGAGTGAAAGTCTGGAAATTTGAGCGTGAAAATTGTACGAACACCAACTAAATTGTTATACATTTCTCTACAAGAATATAAAGATTTCAATCCTTTGACCAAATGAAATTTGCCGAGGGGTTATGTAGCGATATTAAGGTTTGTATATTTTCGAGAATGTATTCAATTGTAAATTGTGAAGCCTTTCTTTTCACATTCCTTAAGCATTTTAAAATGTGCTTTCTCAGCAATTTCTGGCTTATAGTTTTACACTATAGAGACCCAATAGAACTGCCGTGATCAAAGTAATGTTAGGGAAACGAAAACGAATTTTCATTGACGACTTATGTTATTTGAGCTCTAATTGTTAAGGGCCTAATGTTGAACAAAGTGATGCAGCGTTATAACAATATGTTTGAGGAAGGAGGGGGGTGATATCAACCAGAAATAAATTGTAATTGTGAAGTTTTACCCATATTTTTACCCAGTATTTACACCAGAAGTGACGTTTCTAATTAGTCAAATTTGGTTTCATAATTCAGTCTGAGGCATACTGCATAGTTGCTTCCAAGAATTCAACTAATGTTGAAAGCATTCCTGGTTATTCGCTTATTTTCAATTTTACTTTTAAACCAAATGATGATGACAGTAAAATTATGGCAGTACTCTTATTGAAATTTTTCTTATGAATCTACTTTTTTTTAGTTTTTGTTTTAGCCATACGTTTGAACTTGTAGAGTTATTTATCATAGCATATTATGTGTCAAATGTCCAATTCACCTATATGTAAACCTCTTACTGAATTAGTATTGGTGTTTTCTGCTTGACATGTTGCCTGTATTAATTAATTTTAATCAGAAATTATTTGAATGTTATAAGCTAGTTCCAGTGATCTCTATACAACTCTATATAACAACAATGGCTTTAGTTGAGTTGTCAATATCAGATTTCCCTTTTCAGGGTTAGTGCAGGAAAGACAAAAAAAAACGAACATCTTAATACTGTTAACCATTCAAAAGTCCTTCAATGTTCTCCCTTATGTATGTCGGCAGTATTTACTATGTGATCTCGCCACTGGGTGCCTTTGTTATATAGGTTATTAAAAAATTCTTGCACACTTAGAGTTGCAAACTCGAAACATTCAAATTCAAAATGGCTTAAGATCTAAGATCTATGATCTATCTTGGAAATTTCATCTGCTTTACCCTAAATCAGGCATTGTGTTATTTTTAAAAAATATTTATCTTCCAAAAGCAACTAAATTTATTAGAGAATGGGAGATTGTAAGAAATATTTTTGCATACCTGACATTTTAGTTTAGTTTCGATTGAGTCTGCCAAAATAGTATTAAAGTGTATCCAAAATATTTTAGTACAGTTGTATCACATGATAGAAGTTATATGTCTACTTATATATAGTTTAAATTGAGTAGCTTCTTAAATAGCTTGCAGCAGTTACAATAGTAAATGCTTCAAATAAATGTTTAGTCCAGGGAGGCGTTTAGTCGAATAATATTTAAGACATATTGACTGATACCGAGGGAAAACATCATGTTTTGTGTCACAAAACATGATGTTTCCCAAGGAGTTCGGTCAATAAGTGTTTTATTTTATATATATATATATATATAACAAGTTTCAAAGGAAACAACGGGTGAAAATATGGCACAAAAACGTAGGCAGAGAAACTTTTGACAAGATTTTGGGGTAAACATTCGGATTTCCCGCCTTTCACGTGAGGTAGTTTTAACAAATCAGATTCTGGAACAGATAAACTTCGAAACTTGCCATATAATAACAACATTTAACTACTAACTATCTTTCCACCAGCATAGAATTATGCTGTTCATGACAAAAATCAGGATAGCATGCGGAGAACAATTGTCCAAAACTCGTAACGCGACAAAAGAATTGATGCGGCATGATAAACAAACATTTTTGAATTTACTTCTTAACATATTTAAAATTCGCCAAAAAAACAATAGACATAGTAGTGAACTATTAAAGAAAATAGTTAACATAAACTATTTCATCTGATGAAATGAATGTTTTACAGCATAGACCATAGTTTTTATCACTAGACTCTTAAAGAGATCATGAAATTATTATAAAATGTAAAATGCAAAGTATATTTCTGAGCAGACCATCCACCTAAATGGAAAAATTGCGATTGGTTTGATTGTTTGATTATCCACTATAATATCTAATCCGCGTCGAGTTACTGAAATTTTATAGAATAATTTAGGATGACATCTTCGCTGGTCTTTAGTTTACCAACAAACTATATTTTTGTCACGTTTGAACTGCGTAGCTGATTTCACAGACTATACAAGATAGACAGTATAGTTGGAAAATACAGTACCCAGATTGGTTAAATGCAAAGAAACAGATTTTTTTATAAAATGAATCAACTTTATTTCCATTCTTGCTCTTTTAAAATTTAGAAAAACACAATGGGAATAATCCAAGGTTAGCGGAACCATCACTTCCGGTCAATACAATGAAAAAGATATTTGGCCCATATTTATATATAAAGAGCTCAGTTCACTGAAGCTAACTTGACATTTGACAACGAAAATGTTCGCTATTCAACATCAATTTTTGCTATTCAACATCATTGCGGCTCCATTCAGTGTCTAGTTTTCTCACTTTTCTGTCATGAATCATGATAAAAAGTTTTAGAATTTATCTTTGTATTTTCCTTCAAATATACCTCCTAACATGAAGTACTTCATTATTATTATTATCCAGTTTTGTTCATTGGTCCGTGACGATTATGTCAAATCGTCATTACCGGAATCTCGCACACCAAGCGGTAAACATAATGAATGAGGAACAGGAGGCCTATGTGGAAAGTCCAAGTCTTCCAGCGAATCTACCACCTCAGGCAGACAACAATGCAGAACGCGGTAATTCAGCGGCCAATAGCGGAGAAAGTGACCAAGCGAGAGTTCCGGCAAGTGACCAAGCAATCGCCGCCAATGCTGAGAACTTAGATAGGGTCGATGGTTATGATGAAGTTTTTGATCAAAACGTGAGCGCAGATTTTGAATGTCCCATATGTATGCTGGTATTACGTAATCCTGTTCAAACAGGATGTGGACATCGCTTTTGTGGAGCGTGCATCAATAGACACTTGTAAGTTAGACCACAAGCTTTGTGCAAAATGCAATGATTCTGATCCTAAAACAGCCAGCCCTCTAAAGTCATCTTACCGAAACTGAAAACACATGGCGAGTTGTCAAAGGTTAAAAAAAATATGTTTCAAAAAACGGTTGTTCATATCTGTTCTGTAAGCTACTGTAAAATCAGCTAACGTTGAGTATATCTACATCGTGATGATTTCGTGGATCGACGAGTTTCAAGATTCAAATTTTTCATTTTAAATATACTGGTCGCTTAGTTTTAATTTATAGTAGCTTATTGAACTAATTTGTTTAATAACAACCGTTTAGGAAACACAATGCTATATATTTTTGGTAGACAACTTCATTTAAATGACGAATGATTTTTAAATTTCTGAAAGAGTCCTAGTCCTAAACGAATGATTATGAAGAAATCTGACTAGCCTTGTTTCTGCGTAACTTGCAACAGCCCTTTTACTCTTTTTTTAAATAAGTCTACAACTGTGGATTTTGTCAGTGATTGGACCCTCTAAGGAAATCCGTCCCCATGAATCATTTTCTTTAACATTGCAAGCGACGAAAGTTACCAACCCTCCGCCACCTTTAAAACTTTATAATATATAATTATATACATATTTTATGTATACTGAAGATGACGTTAGGTCTTCGGAAAATTGATGTATTTTCACTTTTTCTAGGGCAAACGTTCACACTTGCCCAATTGACAACCAACAGCTGGACCCGAGCGAGGTAGGTGATTTTAATTTTTGGTTTGTTTAGTTTTATCCTTTACCTTAAAACGCTGAGCGTCAAATGGGTTGTGAAACATCAAATAGGTTGTACATTAAAGGTTCAACAATTAAGTAAGGGTGGAAATGATTAAAATTGGCATTTTTCGTGTGACAATTGCATCTCGCATGCATTTGACGTCATTAAAAAAAAGTGTTTGCATCCTGTGACGGATTAAGGAACGAGCATCAAGGAACTCAGGCTTACCTGGGATTTTTGCATGAAAGGAAATGAGGAAATCAAGGATGTTTTGAGTTAAAGGAAACGAGGAACAAACACTGTGGTTGTTATATTGTGTCCCGGATGTTTTAAATGAAACGAATTGAAGGGAAAAAAGAAAACCTTGAATGTTTGAGTGAAAGGAAACGACGAAGAGACGCTGTGATTTTTATATACTATCCTGGGATATTTTGAGTGAAAGGAAACTTTACCTTCCTAACTCGAAACCATTGAAGGCCAGAGTAAAATTTAAACTAGATTTGAAGCAGCTAATCAGAAAGTTTTATTTGCTTTGCTATTGGAAGATACAGACAGACGCCGTTTTGAGACCTGTGAAAAAAGCTCAGTTGGCCTTCCAATGGAAACATTAATTAAGCGTGATGACTAAGGGTTCAAAACGCTATTTTTATTGCTCCATGATTTTTGCAAAATCTGTACACTTTTTGCAGTGATATAGATTTCACACTGTGCAATAACGTAGCTAAGGACTTCTGGATCATAACTTCGACAATTGTTCCTCTCAATTGGAGATATTCACTTGAATATTTTGCGTTTTCTTTGAAGTTTGTCGTTATTTTATTGCAAATTCGTAACGTAAATTTGTTGGGAGCATGCAAGGTGGTTTGGTGAAAGGGCAGGTTTTTCCATATGCGTGACATACGCGCTTTAAACAGGACTTATGTGACATGTCGCAAGCAGGAGACGAAGAACGAAAATTTTCTTGTGGATTGTGTCAAAAATCCTTTAGCTCAGAACGGGTCGCTCGCTACATATGAATCCCTATATACGACTATTGGATGGCTGGAAATGTGAGTATAGAGCAAGATATATATTGCAAGACAATTTACAAGACATTGCTTTAAAGCTAGTAATGATTATTGTTGCTATCCTGCTATACCGAAGCAGCGTCTAAATTCTCGCTCTAAGAAACATTCAACTTGTTAAAACGACGTTTAGATCAATGGAAACGTGGAAATTTGAGGGAATGTAGGACGTTCATACCGTCTAGTTTTGCGGACATTCGCAAAACTGATGTAACAGGGAAAAGTTAATGCAGCATGACCACTTCTTGACCAGAAGATACAACAGAAGATACATTACAGGATTTGAAAAAGTATCGCCCCTTCGCGAAGTGGAGCAATCCCGTTGTGAAGTATCATGGAGATGTACTTTTTGTCGATCTAGTTTGCGGGCATTGACGTGTCAAGCAATCGCTACAGCCGCCACCAAAGACGCTGCCGATCCTTCCGGCCTTGATGCAATAGGTTGGAGATATATCCTAGTTTCCCGCAACTATGGTGATGCTGGAAAAGATCTGTGATCGTCCCTAGCATCCATGGCAAGACTCTTAAGCCACTATAAGAAAATCTCTGACGAGAAAACAGTCAACAAGCCTTGAAGCCTGCCTGTCCTGCCGTCTAATCTCATATTGGGGATCCTTCGCAGAATAGTTGGATTATCTACATGTAATCCATATCACACATCTTTGCGGAGAAAGAAACAGATGTTATATATGCTACCAATGCATATAAATAATATATGGGGGAATACGGCTTCATCACACTCTCGGCATTACCATTCCCTTGGGGCAATAATGAAAGAAAATTTCGTCAGAAGAAGGAACAACACCGCTTATACGCTTACGCCGCTTATAAATTTAATCAAGGACTGGCAAACAAACTCTGTGAGAAACGTTGCTTTTGCTGATGACCTTAGTGGCGCCGGGAAGTTGCACTTGAAGGGAGAATATAATTACTCTGTATCCACGAGGGGTAAAATCTTTGCTTGATGTGAAATCTCATCTATTTGATACTGTGAAAACAATCTCCGCTGGGACTGATGTCCAGATCACTACTGATGGTCACATGTACCTTGGTGCATGGATATATCGGTTCAGATAAGGAACCTGGGAGGCAGGCGTACGTAAAGTCTTTGGTGGACAGTTGGTGCAATCAACTATGTGCTCTGAGGTGTGAGACAAAGTACGAACCTCAGGCAGCATACACCATATTCGTGGCAGGTTTCCATCACCGTTTCACCACCTACCACGTCATCCCAGCGATTCTGGGAAATTAACCTGAACTCAATAATATTGAATAGCTCATGGACACGAAGTTTCTTCCTGAGGGGGACGCAATATTCACAGATGATTGGAAACTACTGGCTTAGCCGCCACGGATCGGACGTCTCGGCATACCTATTTTGGTTGAATGATGATCACTTGAAAGAACGAAATATTTTCGATTCACACCGCGAAGGTATTTCCTGAGATTCGTCGAAAGAGAACGGGAGGCTAGTTACAGAGAAAAACTGCATGGAAGAGTTGCGTTAACGCATTACGAAAAAACAGATCCGTGCAAATGACACCGCCCAGCTGAAAGCTCGCCGATTTGGCTCGCTGCCTTGCGGCAAGTATAAGCGTATAGAAGAAGGATTCATGCTGAGTAAACGGGAATTTTTCGATGCCGTCTAGCTCCGGTATCGCTGGCAATTGAAGCGGTTACCATCACACTGTGCTTGTGGCAAGCCATTAACAGTTGACCACGGAATGTCTTGTTTAAAAAGAGGCTTTATCTACCCGGCAGTGATCATGATGAAATAGACGTAACTTTTAGCAGCCACCATCCACGTGACCCACGATGTTTCAGCCGAACCTGCTTACTCGGTTGTCTGGCGAAATACTATGTACCACCTAGCGCCAACACTGGATATGATGTATGATATTGATATCGCTGCCCGGGCTTTTTGGCAAAGATGTGAAAAGGCATTTTTTAAAGTCAGGGTATACCCATACACCTCAACACATCGAAACCAAAGCCTCGCCTGCTTGTTTAACAACAACAAGAAAGAGAAAAGGCGTTGTTTGTATAACGAGAGAGTAGTGGGGTTGAGCATGGCTCATTCATTTGAGTGATTTTCAGTGCTTTTGGCGGCTGTGTTAGAGAAACGCAACATTTTATGTCTACTCTGGGTGACAAGATCGTCACCAAAAGACAGCTGAGAATCAGCGCTGTGAGTTACGCATAAAGCGATCTATGATGGAATAGGTTTAATTCCATTAATTCCATTGAGGCTTACATTAAAAAAGGCAATTTTATGCATCCAAATCGAATATTGTGTGATGAGTCTTTTATTTTCTATTTACGCAAGGTAGGGGATCTTGACGAATGTTCTTAAAGTTCTCTTCTTTCTTCGTTCTTCTTTTCTTTACTTCTTGTTTTGTGTTCTTGTCTTTGGTCGTTGGTTCTGTAAAGGTTGAGCTTCTCTAACGTTTCACATGATTTTTACTCCGCTAGTCCACTGTGTTGGTCTACTTCGTCTCGGGGTTCAGTTCGAAGTTCTTGTGTCCACTTCATTTAGTCCAGTTAAGGTTCGGGTGTTGTCCACGCCCTTTTATTGTAACGGTTGAGGGACATCTGCATACGTCATCAACCAGAGTGGGCTGATCCTTACCAACCAATCAGCGTTGTGGGTTAAAATGTGGGTTGGCGTTAGAAGCTCGTTCCAGCTCTCATATCTGAAAAAATTAAACACACTCTGATTTCATATTTTATATTTTTAACTACAAAACTTCCTCAAACTTTAACGCGCTGTCCTTTCTCGTATCCCTCTCGTTCCCATGCTCCCGCCTAATAACGTCAATCATTACATTTCTTTCTCTTTTTTTTTTTTAAAACTCAACTGAATAACTATGAAATGTTTGTTATTGTTCCCAGTATTTTTAAGTTCTAGGACACTAGTCCAGGTGATATTGGGTTACCAAATCTGTTTACAGGTTGTTGTTTTCTCGTTGATCTTCTTCGTGGTGATTGGTGTTCTACAATATCCTGCATCTCATGATTCTCATCTTCGACTCCGTTACCCCGTGCATCATCTACGTTTTTGGGCTTCTCTTCGTCACTACTTTGTTCATCCGCAGGTTTAACTACTTTGAAATGAGACACATTGCGTGTGATAGTACGTCTGTCGTTTCTAGCTGTGGCTGTTGCTCCTTTCCTCTTCACAATCGTAAATCGCTCAGGATTGAATCTAGGAGATAGCTTGTTGATTGGTTTTTGTTTGCAAATAACAATGTCACCTTCCTTGATTGTGGATGTTTTGGTGTTATTCTTGACATCATAATATTGCTTATTACTGATCTTCCTCTTCTCAATGTTTTCCTTAGCGCTTTGATGCTTGTTAACGATTTTCTTTGTTGATAGCTCAGGTAGACTTCCTTGAACCTTTCGGTTGAACAGTAACTCACATGGAGGTATCTTAGTAGTGGCATGCGGCGTTGAGCGATAATTTAATAAGAATCGTTGAAGTTCTTGTCTCCAATTCTTTCCCTCTAACACAGAAGTCTTTAACCCTTTTTCTAGCGGCTTCATCACACTCTCGGCATTACCATTCCCTTGGGGCCATAACGGAGTGCTTCTGGTCCATTCCATTCCCAAGGCAGCCATGTATCTTTTGAAGTCATTTCCATTAAAAGGTGGGCCATTATCAGTTTTAATTGTTTTTGGAATGCCGTGAGTTCCAAATATACGGTCTAGCTTAGGGATACAGGCTTTCGCTGAAGTTGACTTCACAATTTTCACTTCAGCAAACTTAGAATACGTGTCGGTTACAACAAGTAAATACTGTCCACTGGGGGGAATAGGACCATAAAAATCGAGTGCCAAGCTTCGCCATGGCTCCGTTGCTGTAGGCGTTATCCTCATCGGTTCAGGTGGACTACCGGGACCAACAGCTTGACAAGC